AGTGCTTAATAATAAATAACATTTAAAGCACATTTTTCATGCTCGTTGTTTGCTAGCATAGATAATAATGAATACACGATTTGATACACGTGCAGTGTTACCAGATCATTAAGCTGCCCGAAGCTTGGTCGACATTGGCGAACTATGTGTGAATTACTCAAATATATATATGTACACATTCAGCCAATTAATTAGCCCGAAGGCCTTGTCTTTTTTTTTCTTCTTTTTTTAGCTATTAGGCTAAAGTGATCAAATACACTGCTGCATCTGAATAAATGGTAGTTTCCAACGCCAATAATTGAATTTGAAGTCAGAAACATATGTGCGTGTTCTGACGTGCAGAACGTTCACGGCGTCACGGACAATCCAGTAGCTTTTTAGTCTAGGCCCCATAGCAACGACTCGTCAGTGAAATAGATTTATTTCCCAGTTGACGCACAATCTGAGCGACCTGTCATGTTGCACTGACCGACGCGCTGGCCTATCATGTCTGATCGGAGTGAATAATTAGTGGACGACTACCAGCTTTCCCTTATGCTGTCTTTTAGTAAAGCTTAGAATCACACTATTTGTACCCAGATAACTTGCTCGTATTAAGTATTTGTTTTACTTAGTTGGCTTCCGGCGGAACGGAAGACACTGCTTCTGTATACGTATGCGTTCGATAGCTGCATCGAGTAAATCATACCACGAGATATATTTACATGACGTCCATCCACGGTTCGTGGTAGCTTCGTCCATGTTTCCTCGTTTGTACTTTTGCTTGCGCGGTTCATTGGGAGAGCAATTAGTCGTTTGCAGCTCCGCACCAACATCACTTCACTCTATAGCGTATTCCAATACGGCACGTATAGTCGTTTAGTCTCGAAACAACGCCGTACTCGCAGCCACAATAGCCAGCAGCCGATCTAATGTTGTTCTGCTGTTTCAGTGCCATCTGGCCTGTGCTCATCACTCCAGTCATTTTTCTCTCATACGATTCCGTTGGCAATTCCGTGGGCGAGAAAGACGCAAAGGAAGCTCTGTAAGTGAAGCAAAAACGATTTTCAGCAGCAACATTAGCACCGCTACGAAATTCCCCTTCGGCGATCTTATTTCTCACACTCATGATCATAGCGGTGATAGCGGCGCGTTTTTTACGTCGATTTCCTCGCTGCCATTTTGGTACAAGTGTATTAACGGTAATAATCAACAGCTTCGACAGAACGAGACAGCCATTCATTGAGTGCAATCACCGCTGCAATCCGTCGATGCGGTACCAGCCATAGCGTACCACAGCCTATTAAACGCTCCATTTATACGGCTCGATCGAGTATAGCTTAAGAAACAGTAGTAGAAAACGTGAACGAATTAACGTGCTGGTCACCAGCGACAATATGGCCAACGTCAGAAGCGGCACCGTCTATCTTCTATTGATCGGTCGAGTGCGTACGACCACATCTCCCGGCGACAGAGTAATATTGCTTGTTGTATAATTAATGTAACACTACTCGAGTACCATTTGGACACGTACAGCGGCCGCGAGATAAGAGGTGCCACAGAGAAAATAAGCAATTTTCATAGTTCGGTTGCTATTGTCGGATTGCCGCTACCGTCCCCCTATCGCTACCGATTGCGTCTCGTGGAGCAGCCACTGCCAATGAAGAATGCATGGATCTATGGATAGATGATCCTGATTGTGGAGCGCCGATCTGGACCGCGCATCGAGGACGAGGTCTATCAACGCGTATCGATAACCACAAGCGTTGGCTCGCCTTGCGCTAGCAGCGGGTTTTTTTCGATGTGAATGAAGCCGCTGTGATAGCAATAGCTTCAGCGAAAGACAATGAAACAGCTACTTTTTTTGTTCGTGGGCCGCAGCAGAAATCTGGGGAGAGATGAGGTTTAATGCCTTCGAATTCAAGTTCGAAAATTGAAGCTGATTACTATCTTTTATGGCACAGTTACGCGCAAGTGTTGGTTTAGCCAGGAGCGTATCAGGCTTGAATTCGTAGTAAAACATCTGAGCAATAACGATTTGCTCGAATAGCATTGGGCGCCAAAGCGTTTGATAATCTGTAATCATTTTGAACTAGGCCATATGTATATATAACAGCATAATCCATCTGAAGCTGAGATTATTAGAGACGTAATGTGATGGTGAGATCATGTAGAGTACACTGAGGCTGACAGATGTCTGTGTGTGTATCGTCCAAAGAATATGTATCGGTTTTTCTAAAAATTCCAGACCTGTATTTGGCGATAGACGAAATTTGCACAGGTACCATTTTTCGCCGTTGGTAGTGTCTATAGCCGGTGAGGAAACCCCCATCTGTCATCATTTCCAAAACAAATCAACTTTTTCACCATGACAGCCTAAACCGAATCTATAATGCTATATGAGTAATGTTCCCTTGAAGATGTTAGAAGTCGTTCCGATTTTGTATGCTCATAGCAAGGGAAAAGCTAGACAAACGGTTCTATGCTTCACAGTACTACATAGGTGTATCTATCGACGATTGTTTCAAGCTAGGAACAGTGGGTGCATTATTGTGTTAATTGGAAATTTTCACGGCTACAGGTCGGGGCTTCTGGGTTTTACATTCAGCGCCCTCTATAAATTACTTGGGCTTTTCAATGTTCACTTTCTACATCATAGTCAGCGATCTTCTCACGGCGGCCATTGCTATACTGTTTTTCTATTTGACCACGAAGCGATGATACACACGCAAGCCTCGCCCTATATCTAGCAGCTAAACAATCGGACATATGGTATAGCAAACAAATATGAGATATTGACGATAAAAGCAAAAAAAGGTTGCAGCCACCTGACAGAAGGTGGCCATAACGCGCAACCCATATTCGGTGAGACACTCCTCGAATCGACACCTCCGTTGGACTTTTATCTAATGCTTGAAACTGCAAACAAAATATGAATTCACTTTACGGCTAGTTCCATTCAAAGCAGATAAATTGTTCTATATCTGCGTGTGCTGAAAGAGGGTTTTACCTAGAAGCGATATATACATAAAAGTTCGCGGTGCGGACGCGTCCGGTGTTCTCGCCGATGCAAGCGCAAATAAAATTAATACAAACCAATTTCAAAAGCCATAGCCGATGTGGACATTAGATATTTCTCCCGGCGCAATATCAGTGGATCACTATTTTCTCAGTAGTGGATTTGTTGCAGCCAGGTAAGAAATTTTCAGTGATCATTGTTGAGATCTTCGTAATTCGGATGTAAGTTTTTCCGCCATTATCTTCATGCCAGTAGCAGACAAGTTGTGTGCTTGTGTGTATGTATGTATGCGCTACGAGCTCGTCGATACGGCCAATACTACCTGCTTTTGCTGCTAAGAACGCCAGCTCCTACTACTGCAAAGCTGGAATCATTCGTAGTCCGGAAGCTCGCCGCTAAGCCAAGTACCATCTTCACACTGGGGGCAACATATTCGTAGAGATTTTCATCGCTGACCGTTGAAGGGCGTCGAATATTGAAAAAAAAAAGCTGTGCTCAGTGGTTGTACTATATTCGTTGTCAATTAATGCCTTCAGCAGATGACCAACAGAATTAAAAACGATTACATTTGTGTTTATATTATACTCTTCCCTTATCGTCGATCCGTGTATGAGACGTATAATCGATTTTGAAAATGCAAAGTCTCAAACAGAGGCAGCGATATACATAGTAATGATAAAGTGATAAAGTTTTATTTTTTGAATAAATTCTTATCTCTGAAATAATCAGATGCTGGGACCCAGATTTGTCTTCTCGAAATAAATGCATGCGTGCGTACATGGGCAGGCAATGTAAACATATATACGTTAGGATAAAAAAAAATTGTATCGAAATGTGTGTATGTGTCGAAATAAAGATGAATTTTACTGATAAAAGCACTGAGATGGGCGCAGTGGCGGTCATACGGAGTGACGTCGATATAAGATCGCACACAACGTATACGGCAGCTGGGTATTGCTAAATGAACAGTCGAAAGGTCGTTATTATGTGGCGAAGCTATCATTCACCGTATATGCATGTGTTGATACTTAGATGACTTCAAGAGATAATAGAACAAACGTTTAAACGTTGCAACTTCCCGACCTGTCTGACCGTACGTCCGTGTTCAGACGACGACGACGACGACGACGACGACGACAACGACGACGACGAAGAAAAGCGGACGAAATTCTCCTGACATCGAACGGATTTTCTTTCTATCCTCAAAATTATTGAGCTCGATCTATGTTAACACAGTAATTATAATGATCTGCAAAGCGAGAGAGGGGATATGCCAAAAGTCAGAGCTAAGATGATACCTGAGTCATATACCTACTTTTGGCTTTATCTGTTTCTACCTAAACATAAGGCCGGTGTGAATAGAAAAAGAAAAACGCCTACTCAATAAAGTTTACAAAAGATGCGACAAGTTTTAACTTGATGGTATCAACACAAGCTGCCATAAGTTGGAATGCATGGAATAGCGTTTGTTAATTGCAGCATTAGAAGTGAGCTAGGCAAAAAATCCGACGACGCTTAAGCATGTACAAATGAGACGTTTACTGCACACCAGCCAAACTCGTCGCACTCTACCTATACCTCACCCTAATAGAAAGAAGACATTTCCAGAACAAATCTTACGTAGCATACAACAAGCGCCACTTGCCAAGTTGACAACACTTCGTTTCAGTTTGCTAACGCCGACGGTCCTCGCTGTAAAGCGATGTTCCACCATTTTGTGGTTCTGAAAAATTGAGGCCTAATAAGACCACCTAATACATAGATAAATGAGCACCGCTATGATTTCATATTTTATCTAGCAGTATAAAGGTCGTTGTAAACTTACCTACGTACGTATTGTGCTAAATTTGTGTTCCTTTTTATCCATAGACCGTTCCGAAATACGTTACCTGCTAGCCCGAATGATCAAACGACCTCAGTAAAGTCTAAGGTGGCCGAAAAAGGATTGTGATCATTATATCACGGTTGTTGAGGAGACTCGAAGAGGTATGTTTGTCATCGTACAACGATTTCTACAAGCAAAATTCTTTTGATCAACCTGATGCAACAATAAACAGTAAGCAATAATACGACGTCGAGCTTCAGCGTGCGTAGTCATAATGAAGTTTAAAAATGGTGCTCCTCTGACGCTCCTTTCTGTTGACGGTTCACCGTGATCGGCAATAACGGCAACAACAGCAACAGCCGCATTTTTCTGCTTCTCTGCATTTTTGATTTTTGAGATTATTTTTATGTAATGAAGCCGCTTCGAGCAAGCTCTTTGCTCGTCTTTCAACTGCTTTATATTTCCGTGGTTTCGTATGGTCATGTGGTTTGCAAACACAGAGGGAGGATGGCATCCAGGAAACGAGGCATCCGTTCGGAGCAGTTACATTCCACTGTGAACCTGGTAGCATCATAATGATCCTATTATCTCAGACTCAGAGAATTGAATCTTGAGTCGTTTATCCTTTCCAAGACTTTAACATGAGTATAATATATAACTTAAACAGTTCCGATACGGAACTGTTTGTCGTGATAAAAAGCCTTCTCTCGCATAAATTACACGATGAAAAAAAAAAAATCAACTTTCATTGGATCAGATCGAAACGGGGTCTCTCTTGTTCAGCCTGGCTGTACAGCGGTCGGCGTTATCGCAATCGCCCCAAGTTAACATCGCAAAACGAAGATCGTGTTATTCGTTAACGTAGCTACGAGCAAATCGTATCCGGGAGCGATAGTTTTTGTTTTAGGAAGTTATGAATGCTGTTAATACCTTTTACAGTTTGGTAAGGGTCCTTATTACCTCTAATTTATAAGATGGGATGAAATAGGTAGCCATCGAAAATACAGAGACGTTGTGAAGTGTCTGATGATCATAGTGACGTTTCTAAATTTTTTTGCTAAGCTTGGTGACTATTTGCGGCGGCCTATCACCTCGAAGCGTGTGTGTAGTGATCAATGTTACCGGTATTGGACCGGCCGTTGGGGGGCTGACATTCGAACATAACTAGGCCGCCGCAGCCGTGGCACCCTCGTGTACGAGAAGCAGGCCGTACGATTGTAACGGTTGAATACGACCAGATAGTAACAGAATACGACTGATTCAGTTTCTTCGATCTTTTCTGTTGTCAACATTTGGTATCTGCGACATACACAGCCAAACTCACCGTGACAGATGTGAAATGCCACTGGAAACTATAGCCGTCTATAATAGCTTAGGGACTTTCACAGCAGTAGCCCTGGGGTGCTGCCTTATGGGGGTTTACTAGAACGCTATCATGTAAGCCAATAATCTTGGACCTGGAAGTCGAATAAACACTAGTCATAACACAATATGATGATGAAAAATCCAAATCCACGTTGCTCTAGCCTTGCCACCCACTATGCGCAACGTGTGTACGGATCGTCGATGTGACGGCACTGAAAATCCAGCAGTGACGAAGACTCGGACGTGATGCGTCCTTTTTCCGATCACGTGTAGTATCGTCAATGTCGTGTAAATTTGCAGTGTTTCCTGTTCGCATGCTCCGTGTTGACAGGCAGATTACATTGAATATCACCGTCTGCGATAATGATTAACGCTTGAAAGACGGTCAAATCGTTAGTACAAGATCACCTTGTCTACCGCTTGCCGGGCCATCGGGACCAGAACACTTCAATTTCTGTTATCGTTCTAACCGTCTGATGTCAAACACGTTCGTCCGCAGTCACGCAGTGTTGGATCCTTACGGTCCATGGCGTCCATGTGAGATTGAAGGGGAATGAATATCGCGAACTATGACACAAAGGTAGAACCCTGAAATCACTTAAGCATTAAAGTGAAATACTAGACAGAAGGATTTGTTTTCGCAAATACAATAGAATACATATAGTATATATCTCGATTTGATATTATAGAAAAAAAGAAAAAGGTTCAATTTGCCAGATGGGTAAGAGATGATAATGTCTGTGCCAAGATCGTCTACGCGCATAATTAAGAACTTACACACGCGGATAAAGCCACTAAGAAACGATCGGTTTTTATATTAGATGGCCCTTCAATATGATGACCAGGTTGTCTATTGTAGTTTTACTTTGAACAGGACATAGACCTTATCTAGCTAACCGAATAATCGACATTTTTTTTTCCTTTCTTTTACATTATATGACATTTACGAGATAAATACATTTCGCTCTGGTGCTATATATATATATATAAATATAAATATATATATAAAATATAGCAAATACGCAGTGTGTATCGAGAAGCAGAATAGTGCAAAAGTCACCGATCCGTGATTAAGCCAACATGAACTTTCTATCAGTATTCCAAAGGTTGGCTTCTCACGAAGTCATCATTTTGCCTAACACAGAATCTTCCACCGAGGCGAATTGATCATTATGACACCTGTTAAATTCTAGTAGTAACTGATTATAAAAGATTCATTTATCTAACATGTATATGAAATATCTTAATTAAACTCCAGTCATTTCTTTTACGTGTATCTAAGATGAAGGGTCGCTGATGACACGCATCACTCTGATACCGTGTGCCACAACCGTCACAACGTCTCTGAGCGTTATAAATACGTTGTTGCCATGTTTATGTTCTTCGTGTCGCTAGAAACGTGTCGTTAGAAGTCGATCCTACCTGCTAACGGTACGGTAAAGACGCTCGACGACAAAGAAGAACTACGACGTTGCGCAGTACAACTCAGACAGTTTTACCTCTATACATTTAGTGATACCTTTCAACTCTTTTGTTATGCTTGGATTGATGGTTAGATGATTAGAGGCGCTATAATAATTTAGTAATTATTAGAAAAAGAGTAAGATTTCTAAGAATTGCTGAGTAAATTACGCTGGAAGTGAAACCCTCAACCCGGGTCGTGATTGTTCGAACACAATAGCATATACTGTTAGCGTTATGCTTGTTCGATATTTGTAGCGACTGTTCGCTAATTAATGCAAATTTATTATTACTATTATTAATGAATATTAGAAAATTATGATTTTTCACCGGACCTGATATTGCGTGGTGCAGGACATGAGCCACGTCCCGTGCCATCCGATAGCGTTCGATCAAATCAAAGCTGTAACAGTAATGATTGTATATTTACTGTGTGTGTATGCGTCTGTGTATTGACTCTGGGACACTTTGACGGATGGCAATCATAACGAGTACATTGTGCAGAGTGTTCACGTATCGGGATCTGTCTTTTGACATCTGTTTGCTGACTTCCGGCCGCTATGGCGTTCGATATAGGCTCTCCACAACGATCCGTTCCTACGACAGGCAATTTCCAGGGCACATGTTGCTCAAGCGATTGCGATCAGATAAATGCAAAAAAATCGTCTGCTTTGGCCCCCACATACGCCAAATGCCAGCTACAATAATACAAAGTGGGTTTGACATGGGAAATCAATGTGCACACAATCACTATGCGTAACAGAGCCACGCGGTCAAATATGCGCGGCCGCAGCGGGTCTACAATGAGTATTTACATGCATCGTCCTGCTGTTGTACGTAATCACGTTTCGTACACGTATCATATGCGTAGACCTAAGTCAAAATTTGCGTATATGTCTGCCAGTACAATTTATGTGAGATGACGAGTGCAAGTATAGTTATTGTACTTGTTTTTATTGTGTTCACAATGCGTGGATACGTCCATGCGTCCAGGCAGCAGGATCAGCAGGGCAGCGCATGGGCGATCTGCTGTAGCTACAGAAGCGCCATAGTGATGCAGGACATCCTCTCTTCAAGACCTGCGCGATCCCGAACACCCATTACCGCGCTGAGGTGCAACGGGTACATCTTGCGGCGTATCCGCGCCTCCCGCCGCGGCCGTGACGTTTGTCAACGTTCATGGACGAAGGAGCGAGCCGACAAATTTTCGTTACGCAGCTATCAAAAGACGCTGCGGTCAGCGACATCCAAAGTCGTGCTCATAGGTATGCCATACTGTCTTTTATCCACCGTATTATAGATGATGAGAGCGAGGGAGAGACAAGCTGTTTGACTACCGCGACAGATTTACCTTCGTTCGAACGTTTGCGGTTACTGAAACACCGGAAACAAGCAAGGATATATTGCTATTATACCGATAGATACATGAAACCAAACACAGAGATAAGCATAAGCGTCGGATCAACGAAACGGCAAAATATAATAAAAGTAATTTTTGTTCAATATAAGATTTTTTCATTAGTTTACTGGATTATTGTTTTATTTAGCTATGTCTTATTTAAGCGTTCGCTTACCCAATCATGCTTCCACAATCGGCTTCCGTCTGAATCTGCTCCATTCATCTATCGATCTGCCCCCCGACCTAGGAAGTTACAGCTGTGCATGCTTCAAGTGTTTGTATACGTGTCAAAAAACTGAAATGATAAAACGTCATAAGGAGTTTAACGGTTCGTCTTAACGAGATTCCTTTTAGATGGAATGATATGGTATCCTGAGATGTCATCCGACAAATTACTATTTCCAAATAATGACGACTCTAACATTAAATGCGTGGATCATACACGCTACCAGCACAAAGACACACGAAGCGAAGACTTTTGATGAGACAGCCAGATCGTTAGGAACGCACGAGCATGAGCAAGGCTTGTAGCGTTAGCCGGTACGCCAAAGGTGAGCCGCAATACAGCCATTTACCCACAACGAGTGGTTAACTTTAGGTTTCTGATTTGTTGATAGGTTGATCTGTTAATTGCCCGTTTATCAATACATTTGTTGCCCTCACCAAGAGAAAATGCCCTCACACAGACTAATGATCGTTCAATTTGCAGATATACAGCGCTGTGCAGCTGAAGTACGTGCGTCATTAAATAACCCCAATCGAGCCTAATAAGATCATACTATATATATTTCCATTCCATTGGCCACTACGAGAGCTAATAGAAAGTTGTTGCTATTAGCTCGTAGGTCTATTAAATGACTAGACAAATATTTTGGTAAACATTTACCAAAATGCTCGGAACGAACCGTAGAATAAGAGTAAACATCAATAGCATATCTAAACTAATCAAGGATCAGCTAGCACGACCACTGTTCATAGCCACGCTGATGAGGTAAAGTTACTTCAATGTTTGATCTATTTTATACGTATAAGTAGTAGACGAGCTGCCTTCTTCCAGTCGATGCAATGGCGATGACAATAGCTAGCTAACCGGATTAAGAACTTACAAGCTGTTTTGGATTAACTGCCCTTACTGTAGCATGCAATGGGGGCATTCAAGGCGTGGTCGGACAAATCCTATTCATACACACCCAGATTCTTATATAGAGCAATAACAAATAGTGGAAGGTGGGCAAAAAAAATTAGGTCGTGGCAAAAGCAACGGTAATGCTATCTCCGCTTGTCGCCCCAGCGACAATAGCATTTGGTAGCGTTCGTAATAAAAGGAATAATGAACGATACGCCCTTATTTGTAGTGGTTAATGGGTTTGTCCTAATAAGGGTCGGTAGTCATCGTAGAAGGCGTACGCGTTTCTATCTAACCTAATCGATGTTATGGTGCTCGCACGACCTTTTCAATCTATCGTACGTCGACTGCAGTAGTGTTCAGTGTTAAATGTGTTGCCCAATGATGGGAATAACTGAAATCGGTTGCACCTGCAGTCGATCGAACGAAGATAAACAAGCGAACGAGAGTGAAGAATTCGGTTGTGTGTGTTCGTGTCACAAACGTTCACGTATACACTGCCTAGTCCAAGGAATCCGAGCACCGATGAGCAGTGTCGTCCATTTAATCGAATAGCGATGATCAGACGAGTGAACTGTGATCGAGCAAGCTCTGCTCTTCACGAGATTGGAGCAATCATTGGGTGATCCGCGATGCCCATGACCGACTCGTACTAGTGAAACGTGTGTTTGGTCTAAGTAAAGAAAAAACGTATTCTTGCACGTATGCCGATCATTTTTCATATATATTTAGTGTTTGTGCATGGTGCATTTAGTAGTAAGGTATGGGTGGCAGTTGTTAGTCCGCACGTATCAGTATATGATGTATGTGCCCATGAAAGAGTCAATGAGATACTGAGATAGATCAATAAGCGTCGAGTAGCATCTTAAGAACAGCGTTTTTACCGTGTCGTCAGATTCATGAAACAAACCTACCTTCGGCATCTTTACGAAGACCTACATCGCTTTTTGGTCAATGTCTTCTAAAAAAAAAATAGCATTAGAATTAAGCGAGTGATTCGTGCTAGATTGTTACGTATATTTATAGCAACACGCGTATGTGGGCTGCATCTGTAAAAATTTACTGGAAGATGATGTAAGTTACAACTTTGGTTTCCTGTTGTCATCGTTGATCTGCGACGCCATAAATTACAATTGAACTACTTTAGCACTACCAAATATCGCAATAACTTTATTCAGCTGTCTCTGCTGATGCTTCCGCTGCTGCCTCTGATGACGAATCTAAATAATGAAGACAAACGTCAACGGCGGTAGCTTTCCTCACGTCAGTGAACAACAAAAGTCGAATAAGTAACAACGAAAAGCAGATGGTCGAGCAAAAAGAACAGTGCTTTAGACTAACTACACGTACGTAGTCTGCCTGCAGCGAGAACCCTTAATCTATGCCAAAGCTCGAAACGATGCTGTAGCAAAGGTACACCTAGCACAATTCTTTCGTTGCCATCATCGACCTAGACGTGCCACTTGCACGTCGAAGTACATCATGCACGTACTGTTACATACTGTGTGGTCATACGAACAGATATAATAGTATTAACATTAGCAATATGTGTCTATTGCGGTTGTTCAATAGTCATACGCTTTTCATCACACAAGTGTTCACTGTGTTAGTTATGTATATATCGTTTTTTTCTCTTGCCGTTTGTACTGCTACCGCTGCTCCTGCCACGGTTTTTTGCTGACGCGATGATTTTTCCTTGGATTTTTCGTTTGCTATTCTTCCATCCGCTCGCGTTGTCGGCTCGCTAGAGGATCCTCGTTTGTAACGCTTTTAAAGGACTGCGCCATAACGTGCAGCAGCAGCAGCAGCAGCAGCAGCAGTAACAACAATGAGACCAGAAGGGTTCGTTGAACTCGTTCGAGGGTCGCGAACTTGGAACCATTAAAACCAAATTGGCTACATCTAGGCGGTTTTGCCATAGTAGCAATCGTTATCGTAGCTAAAATTCTACATACTGCCATTACCGCCACTACGTGCATACACATGCCGATATTCATGGACAAAGCAGTAAAAGTCACGTGCATGCGTATAGGCTACTGTGTTGACCGGCACAGATACGTTAGCTGAACGTTACTGATGCTATCGGCAGACCGGTTACAACATACCTATAGCTAAACAAAGCTATAGGCACTGTACCCGCCGTCGTCAAATTATCGTATATATATATATATGTATAATTAAAGACTTCATGTCCTATTTCATTTATTCCTAGATACATTATGTTTAAGCAGAGACATTTCTGCAGCCACTGTAGCTCACTGCGAGCACTGGCTTTCTATCGACTTAACAAAGCTTCGAAAGCTGGCCTTTTTAAAAACGTTGTTCTCTTCTAAAATTTGGACAAAGTTTTCTTTGACTCCCTTTAGCTATATACCAATGTACATTTACTCAAAGATAGATACAAAGCTTTTGCATGCCCGGTCACGAGCAGGGTCACACCCAGTTATGATACATGTTGCAGAGGCAAACTTCATCTGCATACATACATACTACTACTACTACTACTACTACTACTACAATATAACGGTAAACCGGTTACGCTGTTGTATTGAATTATAGTTGAGTCGCCCACCAATGCATAGTAACGTAGCCAATAGCAAAACAGCTACAGTTGCCCCTGTTTCAGCTGCGTTTAATACAAAGGAAATGTCTCATCCGCTGAAGAACGAATGAATCGTCGAAAAATCGAAATCGCTTACAAACACACGGCGAGACATACAGGCAGAGGAAAGACGTCGCACACGTTTTAACATGGTACAAGTGAAAATCAGGCAACAGGCGAACCTGTCTGAATAATATCTACGTATCCGTTTGGAGAAAAAGCTATGCAACGTTCTGTATTGCTTTATGACGCTTATCGCGTTGGATGACAAGCGGCCTGTTACGTAGTCTGTCCGTAGAATCACTGCTACCAGATGATGAGGCATTACGAGACGACGCACAGCAGGAAAAGGCCATATGAAGAATATACATAGGTCCGTACGGGGTTGGGACGAACTCGACAATAACTTGATCTAAAACGTTATTGCTTTAAAGAGAGATCAACCAAGCTGACATATAAAATATCACTTCCATACCAATACAGATTCATTATTTAACCATTATTCATCGTATGCAAAATCTGTTATCCTTAAAGTTAGGTAGATGATAAACAAATCGACGATAGTCTTTTCACGGACGTATGGTACCTCAGACTGATGGGATGCCTAGTTCGTCGTCTCGCCATACCGCCAGACCTAATGCTGATGATAATGAACATAGGTCAATTGATCGAAAAAATCCAGTTTAAGCTTAAATATCGACCTGAGCGTGTCTATCCGTCGTTCGATTAGGAACTATTGTTTAAAAACACACACACACACAAAAAATATCGATACTCTACGCTGTGCTTTATTTTCCTTCTTTGCGTTTGATCAATCGATGGGCCAGCCGGCCGAATGATGCGAGTACAGCCGCTAATCCTACTGATAAACAACGACACGCAGGCCATAAAGGACAGACCAACAGCAGTGAATGGAGCTACGGTGCGAAGAGTCATCAGCGGCTACGCCGTAGTCGATCCGCCGACACGCAACAACGAACGGAGTATAAAGATGAAAGATAACTGTAGCTGTAACTGTCATTGCGGGTAACGAAAGTCTTCTTGAGTAATGGATAAGGTTGTCTTAGCATCTTGGGCTTTATCTCTATTGTCATGACCGGGAGCGAACGCCGATAGCACTGCGTATTCCGTCTCCACCGGCAGCCTGAATGTGCAATAGTGCCATGCCATGCAGTGTTGCTGTTGGCGCTATGCAGCAAGCGGTAATACCGTAGAATCATCGCGTGATGACACTCTTCACGTATGAACGGCGGTAATCTTCGGTGGTAACGTAGCCGTTACCTGGTCGATGGTCACACTTCAGGGGACAACATTTCTTAACGGGTATCTTGGGACGACGACACCTTAGCAGCAGCAGCAGCAGCAACAACAACAACGCACACATAACCTAGACAGGCACAATGGTAACGGCAGTTGCATTGCTGCAACAAGCCTATCTCAGGCTCCAGTCAGGGACTCTAGTCTAGCAGTCATCACCATTAGAATCAGAAACTTCCTTCCTTACAGCCCACACTATCAGATGGCCGTTAATGGCGACATGACGGTGTCCCCCAGAGACAGACGATCGCTCCTCTGTCAACGCTACAGCTTTAACTGTTGTCGTTGTCGTTATTGTTGACGAAACGGTTCATTTTTACTATATCTATATTGTACGGCCGCATTCCCTGACTCAGGCTGTCTTCTTGCTGAGTCATCTTCGGTCGTTTGGCTGTTAGAATCGCTATTGACAACGCCAACGGTGCAAACTGTTTGATTTAGGGACTGATACAGACCAGAAAACTAGAACAGCGATGGTAGTAACGAGGAGGGAAGCTGCTAACTTGTCCGAAACAGCCCTAACTATAAGCAAGCCCTGAGTCACTCCGCTCAAACAACCCATTAGAAGTGTTCTTCTAACGCTGAGACTGGTTTTTTTGTATTAGTAATCGATTGTTAAATGGCGCTGGTGGCCGCTAAATTCTGGGGTCGCTTTTCGGCTGGAACTACTTGAACATTTCAGTGATGTGGGAATCTTTTCGAAAAAGAAACCTCTCGATTCTATGAGAAGTCTTCTATCTACATATACGCACAATTGTATATGCATTTTCTTCGGAAGTAGCAATTTGCCAAATGGGTGCGCACGGCACATGTTTATCTGGCAGATAACGCTTATCGTTGATGCATAACCCATTTATCATCATCGTAGAGCTGCCTTTCTTCACCAATGCTATTAATTAGCATCTCGTCTGAAGCAATTTCGTTTTCACTAGTGACATCTCAAAATCAATCCGACCCTTTTGTTCTGGGAGCTGGCTCCCTGTTTGTCTTGTGACCGGAAGCATAGCTACACGAGAGCCCAAGGATATATATATATATATATATATATATATAAGATAAACAAATGGTGAATATTTAGGTAAAAATCTAAAAGCTAGAGTAACACTGGTTTCACCACGAAATCTTCTCGTCTCGTCTATGGGACAGTTATCCCAACAGGAGTCTCTAGGCTCACAGGAACTCAACCTAGGTGTATATATATATGTGTGTATTTAGTGCGTGCGTGCGTGCGTGCGTGTGTGCTTTTGCATGATAGGTACGTGATAATAATTGAGTGGGTGGCATCCCAAATGAATGCGTTTCAATTGTACCCCTGAACAGTTTTTGATGTTCTGCACGCTAAATTGACACATCACATAGAGCCCCACGTGTTGCAGACTCTAGGAGATTCGTTTTTGTTTGGTATTTTTGCGGCTTTTCGAGGATTACCACATACAGTGAATGTAAGTCAATTGCGTTTCGCTGAGTCCCTGTTAGGTTTTTCGCGCGCCACCGCTGAACTGCTAGTGAAACTGGTTCGGTCGAAGACACCGACTTCCGGGCACAAAATCCTGGGAATGACCGAAAAAAAAAAAAAAAAAAAGCCACGATGATAACGAGTAACGTAAATGGATAAAATATTTGTTCAGGCCCAAAATGAAAGTCACTTCAAGCAATGGGGTTCGCGTTACGACAGCTGTTGTCGCAGCAGCTACCGCCGCTGACACATAATTAAACTGTGGGAAAAGCCTAGCCCCAAGCGAAGAATTCATGCCCATAATGCTATCATTTCTATAATGAGTAATGCTAAAATATTATATTCGTTCCGAAATTTTTTTAATAAATGTCCGTATTTCTATTGATTGATTTTTACATATTCTAAAAACATACTAAAAACAGAAACAACAGGTAGCACACAGGAAACCATATGATGCGAACGACTGTGTCGTTTGGCGTTTCCGCAACCATGATTACATATGTTTGCTTTCATTTAAAATACTAAGAACAGCTAAAGGCTTACGAAGAGTATGCTGCACGTTAGAATAGCAAGACCACTTGTGTTGTGTAGATACGGAAGCAACGGTCTGAGTTTCATAAGCGCTAAACAAATTCCGAGCTCTTCTTCGGCTCTAATCAACGCACCGTAAAAGCTCGTATGCGACTTTAAGCTCTGAATCGGAACGAGTCACCAGACGCCCATGTCAGGACGAGTTATTGAGTGTTATTCAAACGCTCACCTCAGTCAGTGAACATAGTTTGACGAGCGTGTAATGTCAAAGACATAATGGCAGCAATTGTTATCCTTACCTTCTATATGACTCCGCATGACTTGTTGGAGGGAAGCGGAGGGGAGGGGAGGGGGGGGGTCACGCTTATTGGCTCCTGATCTTTTTTTGTTCGGAGGGACACACGAGCAAGCGCACGAATTACTTGAAGATGTAAAATGACGGCAGCAGTAACTCCAGCTAAGCCTAAGCCTAATGCGAGTCAAAGGCTTTCATTCGATGCCGCAGCTAAAATAAATGAATGATTGCTGACTTAGGCCAAAAAATCATTTGACTTCGGAAGATTATTCCGACCGTCGTTTAAAATGACATCGGTTATGACTGTTCGCCATCACACCGGCTAACGAGACTCGGTCATGCCTATTTCGCCCTCCCTGGCCTCACGGTCGTGGACGTCATCAGCTTAGGAAAGAAGGACATTGAAAGTGTTAGCTTGACGTTGTCCGATTGCGTGGTTTTTATGCGACGATTAACAACTGAAGTCTTTATCCGGAGGTACAACCACACATGTAGTCAGTGCCGTCAAAACCAGCAGATTACCGTTCATTTTACCAGAATTGGTAGAGTAGAAGAGAACCTTGGGCAGCTTTTGCTATGTCGAGCTAGGCCATCGTACCGAACCACTGGCCTCGAGATCGTTAAAACTTCTATCACAGTCGCGCTGAAGGGACACTGCGAGAAAATCGAAGTAGAAAACTACCTGACCATAATAACGTCAACCAACCAAAGCTGTGACTATGATTAGAGCTGATGGTACGCTGCAGCCGTAACAAAATGAGCCTGACATCATAGACCGAAGAGATACTCTATTATTATTAGGTGTCTTCGTTAAAAGTCCTAAAACATTTGATTTCTCTTTTATATTATTATATAAAGATCTTTTGAAGCTAGCATAGCTTGTGTTAGCTTTCCATTGTCCCTTTGTTGTCATAGTTGACAAGATTCGAGAGGCTCTATTTGGAATTTATGTCCACATTGTAAGCCACATTTGTAAGCCAGAGCAAAAATCTGAGATTAGCCCTAATAGCTCTAGCTGTTGTTGTTGTTGTTGTTAAAAGTAAATGCTTCGCCATCCTCCGTTATCAGAAACCGGAGGGATTAGCTTCGAAACGGCGAGAAATCGTTCGGTGGCATACGACTATGCCGAAAGCCATTATGTTTGGCTACTTTCAATTGTAGCGCACGCCTTTCACGGATAACTGTCACCTGCAATTGATTGAATATGGATGTTACTGATCCGACCGGTTTAGGAAATGATACATGTACAGTACAATAACATAAGTGACAGCTGTGCAAAAAAAAAATAGATTCGTATTACTTCTCGACCACATTGTTTTTTCAGTAGCCATCTTTGGCGACCTTCCACGAGGCCGGTGAATATCATCATCTCGTTTTGTACATTGAAGTACTATGTATCAAACATACTCATCGTCGAAAAGCAACGCAACTATACGATGACAGTCCCTTTTGTGCCAAATCTGTTGTCCAAACCTAGGCTCAGCCACAACCATTCGCTGTTAGGGTCGTTGCGGTTGTCTTAATCAACGTAGTCGGCTATAGCTGCGTGGGAAAAGCTAGACACACGATGAAATTCTATGGCCGTCCACCGTGACCTTTTCACGCTGTCGCCACGGAATCGGCCACGGAGTGATCGCCACGGAAAGGCTGTCGAATGTTAAATATCATTCGAATGTTTGTAGCAGCTGTACGATCGAGTTCAATGTTGTTCGGTGTTTAGATTGAGCACGTGGAACAAGTTGACGGATAGGCCACGATAGCGAACTTAGGACAGACACTCAAGGAACCATATGCATTGGATGAACTCGAGCCATTAAGCGATAGAGTCGCACGCACCGCCACGACCGTCATCGCGAAACGTCTCCTCGAACTACTCTAAGCATAGATTTAATTCGTAGTCTAAAAAATGTGACCGCCATCGTCCCCAGCGGTAGAGTTATAGCGGTCGGCCAGTGAGCGCAATGGCCACCACGGAAGAATATATAGTGCTTGAATTATTACAGTATTTCATGGCACATAGTCGGAGCTGTACTACAAGAATTGTAATATCAGATAAATAAAATAGCTGAAAACCTCGTCCTCTGTAGACAAGTCCTTAGGGGCAAGACCGTTTCCCGATCTCCTGGGGAACTGATCTATTATACTGTTACTCGTGATGCTATTAATTATCTGTAGCTAATTTCGTACTTTCTGTTACTATACATCTAAAACAAGTTGCTTCTGTATAGACTTGTAACGCCTCACCGCAATAAGTCGTAACTTCTCCATCGGAACACCTGCCATTCATCGTTGACAAGCACCCCAAGTAAAAGCCCAACTTGCATTCACGTATGGGATAGTCACAGCAACAGCTGGGACTCTCATATTTGATATAAACAGTTTTTATTTTATTAACATTTTTAGATACAGATAAGATCAATTCGTTGAGTCAGTGTAGATATGGTGTATTTCAGTATAGCTGGAGTGATCATCTTCACCAACGAACTTACCATCGAATCGGTGAGATTCTTCCAAATTGACACCTGCTCTCCGCTTGTATTCGTTAAGAATCCAATAAAGAACCGGCGAAAACAGAATTAATACCACGTCTACATACAGGGCTAGGGCCGAAAAGTGTATTGCACAAACCAAATAATCCTAACGCTTCGATGAAAATGCCCTCGTTGTCCTAACAGTCCTAACAGAAGCAATTCGTAACATCGGGAGCAATACACCCGTAGCGATTTCTCGTCGTTCAGTCTATTGACAGCGTAGTCCGAAAGAGGTGTGACCAAGATAAAGTACTCAGCCTTCGTTAACTTCAAATTCGGTGTTAAGTTCCCGCTAGTCAGTAACGGCCAACTTAACTGGCACTCACTCACTTTTCATTCGGCATATATCGTTACTTACTTGGTGACGTCTAACAACCTAGCTAGCTATTTAACTTTGCTTAATATTCTAAGCAACTTTCGCAAACAGTTTATTCCCCATAACTATACCAGACTATTGGCTGAATTGCGGCTTTGTTTTCGCGCTGTTCACCCCGACGAGTTCCTCAGCCACCGCTCCCCCGCGTCCGTCTGCGCAATGGCGGTGGGTCGGTCGGCCGACGTGAGCCGATTGCTTGACGACATTAACGGGGAGAATAACAGAGGCGTATGTTTGCGCCAGCTTAGGCAACAACCGGCCAGGTCAACCAACTAAAAAGCTTAGCAACAATCTAACGATCAATTGTGCATAGACAGAAGCAAACGCACTTTGACTGAGTCACGGATCAATGAGCGGTAGGTGAGGGAAGCCATAATAGGTGGGAGCAGACTCATTCGATTTGCATTGTGGGGGCGGATGTATCAATGAGTGTCTAAATTAGTAGACGGCGCCAATGGCGACTGTTGTTTGCTCCAACTTACCTCGTCTTAGCTTTGCACCTTTTAACTTCCGCAGTTGGCGAGCGCGTCGCTAATGTTGTGGGTTGTGGTGGGCGTGACGCGACTGGGCGAGCGTTTACCAGGTGAGATAAGTACTGCTTGTCCTAATCAGGCTCAATGGGTGCAGAGAAAAGGAGCCGCACAGATCGAAATTGCCTCAACATCTGTGAGAGAAGCACAAGAAACGGTGCGGGAATAATACGTTATTAATTAATGGGCAATTATAATATGAGCGATAAAACCATATCCGGATCACCTGGACTGGAGGAATCTCCTATTGAGAGATCGTTGGGTAGATACGTTAGAGGAGTGTAATAGTTTTTGGATTTCGCGAGTAATTCGAAATGGACGGTAATCGTGCGCTAGATGTCAGCATCTATTGCCCCGCATATCCTTGCCCACATCTATTTATACCCTAATAATAGTTTTCTTTAAATTTGCCGAAATGGTCTATACCGAATATATGTATTAATCGGGCAAAATTTGTTCGTTTAGACGTTAATACACAAAAATGCCCAGCTGTCATGATCGAGAGCCGTCATGAACACGGGCGACGTAATATCTTGTGCTATACTTAGCTGGTCTACGACCAAATGAAGAGATATACGACTTTGCTTTGATATGTGCCATAATGGTGCTAGCTGAGTGTGTTGCATTATTTTTTAGCTTATTTTTTTTTAACAAACACTGCTATACATATATATATATATATATACACACCAGTGATAGCTAACGTTTAGTAATTTGTCTTTGCTAGAGATAGACCCTTGAAGAAGAAGAAGCATATCTATTTTTACAACATCGTATATATATATATATATATATATATATATAGTGTTAATGTATAGCCACGGTACGACGAAAAAAGCACACGTTTAGATTACGTTAATTTATGTTGTATTCTTATATGGCTCTTGCAGTGAAGCTAGCTAGCTAGCTAGCTAGCTAGCTAGCTGGCTGTGCCATACGTCAAAGATATGACAATTTGACGTCATTGGCTCGTTTTTATCCCTAGCTGTTGAAACGGCGATCAAAATGAAGCGATAACCCGACAGATTATTGTGACGTATTACAAGCGTCGTTGGAGTTGTGTTCAGAAACGCGTGATACGTAACAGTCTGCATGATTATTCGTAAAAAAAAAATGTTGTAAATTAATCACAAAGTCACATTGAATCTTGTTGTAAGGTCCGTTGTAAGGATGAATATATCGGAGGAGCAGGAGTTAGTTATTACTGCTTAAGTTAACTTCTGTCTTTTGTTATTATCCTAGCGCGGTGGGATAAGTGAGGAAAAGGGCGGGAATCCCGTAGGCAATATGATGAAACAAATCGAAGTTTCATCTCCTATATCATTCTGTTGTTGCACTTTAATCAATAATAAAATCATATAGAAGTTTTTGTTTGAACAAGACAAAACTACAGCTTGTTGACATGCCCTGGCCTTTGTAGCCCAGTTAAATGTAACCAAAATGGCGTTTGCAGGACGTAGTTGTACCCCGGTATGAACGACTTGACTCTATCCGATTAAGAAAACGAAGCAATTGCTTGTCTAGGCTATAGTAAGCGCGTTAAAATAAATAAATAAACGCCTTGATAAACGCCATATCAGCGTTACCTGATTAACTAACGTATTGAGATGATGCATTGGAAAAATAGGCCCATGTCGTTTGTATTAGTGCTTGTGTGATGCGTCATCAATCGTTTTCAATCAGTTTGATTCTATAATATTCTTGTCAATTTGTCCCTACACTCCCCACATCGCTGTGGAAATCGTCAGTTATTCGGACGGGTTGCCCTTGTCAAAGGCGACCGCCATGGCGGTGGTGGCTGCAGGCTCCTGACGGTCCTTTCTGCCCTTCAAAGTTTCTGCTCTGGTTCCCTTCTTTTAACAATAGCTATGACGACAGCAGCAGCAGCAATCGTATCCATTAACTGCCAGGCTCATGACATCTCTCTCTTCACTATCTATTTAGATGGAACTAATGTGTAGTATTCTACAGCTGCAAACGCGGCCTGACTTGTAATGGTACTGTCTTAGATGCAGGTTAATAGCCAATGCTACAATTGTTGCCAGCTGCTACTGTCGTAGCGCCACCTTTACAACAGGGGCAGCCCCTGCTCACTCCCTTTACCCCCCTTTGACTTCTCAGCTGTCGATCTCAAACCTGTCACAAAAGTTGAACGCTTTACTCGTTGCTGACGCGGTATAGACAATGATAACAGCATTAGCATCAATAGCTGCGACAAAAGCAGGATCACAAGTAGTCGTAATCGTGAATTCTGTGTAATGCTTAGGTTCAGCCCTTTACTTAGTTGACATTTCTCCTCATGTCGGCCTGCTGGTCCTTCCTGGATGACAACAGCTTTACTCCGAGAACAACGTCGTGCAGAGTGAATTACACCGGGAACGCGACCTTAGCCGCTCGGCGAAGAGTTGCGACCGAGTCGCGTCATCGGTTGCGTCCCACGATGAACAAATACAAAAAACGGGAATGGATGCAGGACATCACCAGCAGCTGTGCCATAATAACAACAACATAAGGAAGAGACATCCGCAAAATGAAGATCGGATCATTGGTGCACAGACAGACCTATCCATTTATAACTCAACCGGTACGAGCTGTACAAGAAAAACAGAAGCACAGTTAGAAGAAGAATAATTTTCGTGTGTGTGTGTGTGTGTTTACAAAGATTGTTTGCAATCGGTCACGAGATTGAAACAGACCTCCGATTACGATTTCGGGGAAAAATTGTAACGTCGTCTATGAGAGTGGCGGTAACGTGCAAAATGGTTTTCCTTAGAAACCTCACCGTTTTTACCTCTCGAATAAGAAAAAAAATTATCATATAACAACAAATAAAAGAACATCGAATAATTGCGTGTCGACGTAGTTGAACATTTCAGTAAGCGGCAATTTGCTCGCTGTCTCGAGAGATCAGTGAGACCTCTTAGCATTAGATGCCTGGAAAAACACAACAAAAAATAGCTGGCTATAGCTTCTCTGGCTACCGAGAAAGAATTAAACAGTGCTCACCCACAAAAGTCAGATTAGAGGGACCTGTCATTAGAGAGGACCTGACAGACGTGTAAAGCCGATCCGTAATCGAAGCTATTTATTTTTGTTGTTAAAATAAGTGAAGATGCGATGCTTCGCATCGATAGTGTGCCTTCGTTTAGATGCCAATATTGCACTAGATATGAGGATCAAGAATTCTGTAATTATCGCGTAGTTATCATTTGTGCCTCACCATAGTGGCCACGTTATTACTACTGTTTGCTTTATCAGTAACAAGCGTCAATTCATAGAGTAGACGATCTTCATGGGAACAATTTTAAGTTTGCTTTCTAGTCTGTTTGGCAGTGACCTGGGCTCGTGGCCACTGTGGTTCTATATAGGGAGTATGTTAGTTACGATATTGTGGTTATGGGCAGCGTTCAGGTTTATTCATAAGAAAGTTGATAATTTAGTGTTAAACGTAGTACGATGTACATCACGCAGCAATTTATTTCCTATTATATAATGACCCATATTGTAAATGTTGGTTCGTATTGAAAGGCATAAGAACGGGATATTAGGGAAAGTTATGTAACATCGGTAGATTTCTGCCAATGAGACCATCTCCGGGAAACTGTGAGGGAAAAAAATGAGGTCCGGGAAACTATGTGTGAGTGAATTGTAATCCGAATTTTCGCTAGTGCGCCATTTCTGGCCGCTATTACAGTAATAAAAGAGTCAGACTGACGCACAAAAACAAACACAAACACTATTTTGACCCTAAAGAAACCCACTTAACACAAATCTAAATTGAAAAGCTATTCATTCTCCTTTTTTCTGCGTTAATTAAGTTTAGTTGAATATGCCAATTTACCCACTTTGCTACTTGACTAGAGATAACAACATGTTGAGATATATTTATCTGTCTTATATATATATGAGTGCTTTGAAGATGTGTCCCAAAAATATGCGGCTTCCTTTGCCTCTATCTCGGCTATTGTTATTACCGACGACCTCCTCATGACAAAAGTCCATGCAGTTTTTACTTGTCTATAATCCATATTATCGCAGAAACGCGTCTGTAGGAAGTGTTTGATACACTTCTTGGAATGAATTTCTTACTAACACAAGGCGCTCATTCTGCAAAAAGCAGGCCTCAGTTACGTTCCTATTTCCACGACCTCCTTCGGTTATATGGGTGCAATATGGATATAAGTTTGGTTTCTCATGTTTTTCGTTATCTGTTGTTGTTGCTGCTACCGCCATGGCCAGCATTGTTGACGTTAATGCAGCAAGCATTATTTTTGCAAGCCTTCGCCACCTCTCCGCCGGCTGTCTCGCAGTAAATGTCACCCATTTTTCGGACCTCCACCAGGACGGCCAGATCTTGTGGAACCACACAATGACAATTGATTTAGCCTTTTTCTTTCTCGGCCGCTCTTTCTTTGCCGTTTAAATTGCATATATTTCGATGCAGCCCTCTCTACGGCAGACGGACGCGTCGCTGAGAATGTTGCGGACTCTGTGAAGGAAAAAGTCGGCCGCCCTTTTTTGTGCTTCAGAATGCTCATTTGGGTGGTGGCACGTGCATCCGAGCGCATGCGCATGAATCCAGTTCCCTTCGCAAGAAGCTGGATAATAACCGTTATCGACAGCGTAACGTCTTTAAGGGATATTTTTTCGCGTAGCTAAATCATTTCAGTACGGTAAAGTAATATACTTACTTTTCTGTAATTAATATATCTAAGATATAATATAAATATCTATATATATCTAATATCTAAGGAAAACAATCTGAAATCGTAGCAGTAGACGTTTTATCAATTGGCGTAACAAGTTACGTTATG